TAGTGGGTGAGAATATGATGGTTCAATTTTCTCTGTAATTATAATTTGAAAGGCTGTCACCATTGTGTGGTGGTAATGAATGTCTTTAGTCCCAGAATTTGGGATGAAGAAGCAGGCAAATCTCTATGAGTTCAAGGCCAGAGGATCTACTAAGTGATTTATAGGACAGCTAGGACTAAACAGAGACATGTGTTTCAAAACGAAAGAGAGAGAGAGAGAGAGAGAGAGAGAGAGAGAGAGAGAGAGAGAGAGAGAGAGAGAGAAGGAAAAATGAAAAGAAAAATTGACACAATAAAAATTATGATTTATGGATATTTTTATAAATCTATGTTTAGTAAATTGATATTAAGAGTAGTGAACTAATATCATGCAGAAGTAAAGTTTTTTCAAAAAGTTGAAGAAAGTTTCATGTTTTAAAATTGTCAATAAATTGTATAGAAATTGAGCTAAGGGGAGCCACAAAATCTTTACAATAGACAGAAAACTAAGAAACCCAATGAAATTCTCATAACGACATCTTTTAAAATTGTAGCAGGTGATATAAATAAACTTGTGGAGTGATTGTCTAGCAAACAAAAAAAATCCCATGATCAAATCCAATGATAGCTTAAAGTAAATGAGGTGGTGCATATGTAATGAATTACAGTACTTGTGTGAGGTGGACACAGCTGAATGAAAAGGTCAAAGTCATCCTTGATAACTAATGATTTTAGGCCATGCTGGAATAGACAGACAAACAAAATTGAAGGACCACCCATTTTCTTCCCGTAATAAAGTAAGGAACAGGCACTAATTATGTGGCAGCAAAATAATGTTTTTCAGAGTGTGATATCCAGGGTGAAAAATGTAATACTTGAAAAAGTATACAAGTATATGGACATATATGTACCTGCACATATGTATATATACATATGTATATATTTATACATGTGTGTATGTGTGGAAACATTACAGAGACTCTCCTCAGTCTCTCCATCTGCCTTTTTTATCCTTTTGATTTTCTTAAGTTGTATTTTTGAAGTTATAATATCATTACATTTCTACCTTCTATTTCCTGTCTTCAAACCCTCCCATGTTTTCTTTGCTCTCCTCAAAATTGTGTCTTCTTTTTCAACAATATTATTCCATACATATGATGCTCATGTGTGTATATACTTGCATATTCCTAAATATAACCTGCTGAATCTCTATACTATTATACTCATGTGTATGTTTTTCTGGTTGATCATTGAATATTGGAGAACCCATCAGTGAGCTGTCCTCTGGGGAAGACTATTTCTCCCACTATCAGAATCCCTTAATTGCCTGTGGTTCTTTGTGTAAGGTTGAGGCTTTGGGGCTTTCTCATGTTTAATTTGACATACTAATGGTATTGCCCATGTTCAGCATATGTTCAGGGAAAAGTGTTGATGAACCTTATTTAGCTTAGCTTCTGACATTACTAGATAATACAACTTCACCTGATGCTCCCTGATCCTCTGGCTCTTATAATCTCCCTGTCCCCTTTCCGGCAGTATTTCCTGATCCTTGGATTCAGAAGTCATTTTATGGATCATTGTGCTACACAGACCTGCATCTTGATTGGTTGTGTTTTTTTTTTTTTTTTTTATAATAGTCTGCAACTCTGGACTGGGTCTGAAAAAGCATGGGATAAAATTGAAATTGCTGAACATAGCAGACAATGAGGACTGCTGAGAAGTCAAGAACAAGGACACTGGGTTTTGATCCTACTGCACGTACTGGCTTTGTGGGAGCCTGGGTAGTTTGGATGCTCACCTTACTAGACCTGGAAGGAGGTGGGAGGTCCTTGGACTTCCCACAAGGCAGGGAACCAGGACTGCTCTTCGGGCTGATGAGGGAGGGGGACTTGATTGGGGGAGGGGGAGGGATATGGGAGGCAGTGGAGGGGAGGAGGCAGAAATCTTAAATAAATAAATAAATAAATAAATAGTTTATTTGATGAGGTGTGAGGGTATAAAGATACATATTAAATTGTTGTTACGTATTATGCTGGTTTAGTAATTGCAGTTGTAGAGTCTCCTCAAGATCTATGATTTCAGTTGCACTGAACATTTGATTAGGGCTTCTAGCCTCACGTGATTTCAGTCTTGTTGAGCAGGTCTCATTTCCAGTTAGAAAACTATTGGTTACCACCAGGTATGTAGATTATCCCCTTATATTTGTTGTGTTATACTGGTTGTTGTGGTTCACAGGTATAATAGCTGGGTTGGGCTGTTGGTTGCCCCATCCCTTGGAAGTTCGTATGGCACTTCTGGTACTATAAAAGCTAGTCCTCAGGCAGGGGCCATTTATGCCAGTTCCTGCTCAGGGTTCTCTGAACTTTGTGTCTGAAGTATATGGTGTCTTCAATAAATAGGGATTTATCTGCCACCTGTGGAGAGACAATCAAGGACAGTATCAACAGACTGTATGTTCTGGGAGTCCATTGAGCAGTTTTGACAAACAATTCAAAAGACCTCTTCTGTCTGATATTGAGGTTTTGTTAAATATTGATAGAATTAAATAGTCTTTGTCTTTTGATGACAAATTGAGAAAAAAATCATTTAAATAATATAAGTATATTCATATTTAGAATTGTGTTTATTATACATTCTGTTCTATCTACTCTACCTATCTAAATCCTGCCCTATCAAAAAGCCAAGGCAGTTTATTTATTAACCAATGAGAGTAATACATAGACAGATGACCCTCCTCCATCAAGCAAGGAAAACACTTCTCTGCTGCTGGTGGGGTGAAAACGTGTATAGTTACCTTTGGGAACCAATATGGTGGTTTCACCAAAAATTGAAAATTAATCTACTTCAAGACCCAGCTATATCACTTCTGGGCATATACCTAATGGATGATCCAGCCTATCACAAGGACGTTTTCTCAACTACATTCATAGATGTTTTATTCATAATGGCAAGAAACTGGAAGCAACCTTGATGTCCCCCCTACTGAAGAATGGATAAGGAAAATGTGGTATGTTTTATGCAATGGAGATAGTTAATAGCATAATTTCTGATGATTTTTGAGATATCCTTAATATTATTTTTCCTTCCCCCGACACATCTTCTGTATTTACTTCATTCCCTTTGCCCAAAGAACCTCCTTTTCCCATTTCTACATCACGTCCCTTGTATCCTGCTAGTCCCCTTAACCTTCTCGTTCTTCTGTATTTACCTCCTAAAGAGCACCCCCATTCCTCTTTATTTGATCAGATCACCTGTACACACCAGCATCATATTACCACTTACAACGAGTATTTGTGGCCATTTGTGGAATGATTATTGCAATGCTGTGAGGCATGAGATAGAGATTTCAAGCAGTGTTCACCTCCATTACCCTGTTTGGTACCTCTATTGAACACCTATCCAGTATTTATCCTCCTGTTTAGAGAAGCCTCATATCAGTTCTTATCATTCAACAAAAGGTTATTTTGGGAGGGATTATTTTTTGGCAGCTTATTTTCTTTTTTTTAATATAATTTTTTATTGAAAAAAAATTTCTGCCTCCTCCCCGCCTCCCATTTCCCTCCCTGTCTCCCTTTTCCCC